AATGTAAAAGGTGGGGGGGATGCATAAATGAGAAAGGCACTATGACCTAGAGTTTTCACCCATGTATCAGTCGCTGAACGTGTCTTTGATGAAATGCCCGCAAAAAAATTAAGAATAATCTTTCTTCTGCCACACTTTGTTAATATTTCATTCTTTGAAACTTGCAGGAGAGTGGTCATACTTGGCGTCAGCGTTTTGGGCGTAAGGCAGCAAAGTGATCGTCCACGAAAGTATTGGTGACGATTTGGCATTTAGCATACGCTGGTTGAACCTAATTCGATAGATCTAGTTCCGTAATAGCTCAAAACTTTGGATTTATAACTATGCTGTCCTAATCGCTCGAAATGCTGACGCAGAGTATGAACGCACTTTCCAATTGTACTACACAAAGACTCGTTGGTGCATTTTTATTCGTCACCTTTCAGCTAACTACTTTGTTGACTTGCATCAACGAGCAAGATCTTGATGAGATGAATGTGGAACTGATTAGAAATACGCTGTACAAAGCATACATAGAGGATTTCTATAGATTCTGCAAGAAACTGGGAGGCACTACTGCTGAAGTCATGTGTGAGATTCTTGCTGTAAGTTTACCTCTCATATTTTTCTACTTACTTGCTTATTGCTGTGCCGTAGTGGTCCATTGAATGCCCCTCTCCTGGGGCGATTATCCTTATAAGGAACATTCAAAAGACTTCTCGTGGTGAACTGAGATCACCGTCATTTGAATAGAATTACGATAACAAATGGGGTCGTTGATCCCTGGGGCTCTTTACTTTTTTGGGCTTGCATATGAGTCCTTATCTCTATTACGATGATTCTGGTTCTCCACGGTGCCCCTCCCCCTCCCCCCCCCCCAGGTTTATTGGCAGCTTGTTCCGTTTCGTAAAACTCCATTTTCTACAGATTACATGTTTCGACATTTTCAGTTTGAAGCTGATCGCAGATCTATCATTATCACAATCAACTCTTTTGATACAGAACTGAGCAAAGATGATCGTGAGAAACTTTACCCTAGATGCGGTAAATTGTACCCAGAAGGTGAGTTCACTTACTACATATTTTTTTTATATTGTGCTGTACCTGTGCCCCCTTCGAATCGAAATGTTAGGCGCTATTCGGGCCAAGGGGAGTGGGGGTGTTTTGCACTTCCGCCAGTACCTTCTGCTAATTAATGTTGATCAAACCAGTCTACCTAAGGTAAGACCTGTAATGTTGTGAACGAAATGGTACAAGTGAACCTATCTGGATACAGGAATTTACAAGTCTACACAAAGTAGGCCTGTCCAAACTTGGCTACCATTTGGAGCCCACACCAAGTCGAACGGCGCCAATTTTTGTATAACTTTCAAGGACATCAAAGTTTTTTTGTGAAAAAAATCTCGAAAGACCAATGAAAACTAGGTCTCGCAATTTTTTCCTCTATCGTTTGCGTCTAGCGCTCTTTTCCAACTCGGTGGAAGGCATGAATGTACCGCGCCCGCCGAGCTTGTGTCAAGCCACCTTTTGAAGACTGAGTAATTCTTGTCTTCAAGAAGGCTCACTTGCCCATAGCGCACTCACAGTTTGCAGTTCACCGAATGAGACCCCTGTTAGGCTAACAATGACGGGTGGGAAGGAATCTGTCGATAAGTGGCAAATCGCGCCCGCACTGCTGGACAGTGCTTCGTCGGTATTTCACTCTTTGTGGATTCTTTCAATATTATTTTCGGCCTTTTGGGTGCTTGCTCGAGCGATGATTAATTAGCAGTGACGCAAGTGTGTCGAACTTCTGATGGCGATTATAAGCCGCTGTTTGAGGGCACTGGAAATTCTTCTGGGGAGAAAACGCTTGAGGACAAATTCTTTCGAACATGAGGTTTGTGATGCAGCTTTTTGGCCTTGTATTTCTAGGGAACGTAGTACTAGGGGTCACGCTAAAGGCGTGAAAACTATATCGAGTTGCTACAGTATAAGGGGAAGACTCGGGTGAAATTTAGCAAGTAATGCTTTGTTGAAAGCATGGTCATTGGCTGCCTCAACTTATTGTTAGGCTTTGCCGTGGCAACAGCTAACTTGGCATCTGCCCACACGCCTATATGATTAGCTTTGACGGAATATTACTTTCAGTTACTGTGAAGCTCTTGAGCTGATTTGTTAATACTAAGGTAACCTATTTGCTTGAAAACAAGTTTCGCGCTTACCCCTCGCGCGGTCTGGTTCGAGATTCCGCAGGTTCGACATGCGCCAGGCAACCAGCCTTTACCCGTTGGGACCGGTAATATTGGTACAGAGTGTCTGGAGGATTAAAAACACTGACTTGTAGCATCGGCAGGCCCCCGCATCATGTCGTATGGCCGGATCGCATTCAATAGCTATACCGATTAGTAAATGAAGTAGAATTCGTGATTGCATCCCATAAAGGGATTGATTAATGGCAAATAGCTTATACTTCATATATTTTAATTGGGCTCTGGAATGTCCTTTGTTTGTTTTGACGTATCCTTCTGTGAACTATGCATTCTCAGGTTAAACTAATGTAAGTGATCTTCATCATTTCCACTCTCGGAGATTTCTATGCGTTCATCAAGTTGAAGGAGCAGGAGATGCGTAACATCATCTGGATTGCTGAATGCATCTCTCAACGACACCGCACAAAGATCGACAACTACATTCCGATTCTGTAAAGATCGTGGCAGGGTTTTATATTGTTGACGGTTCATATCAACAATAGTCCTGACATCCTTTGGAGGAGGCTTCTTCCAGTAGAACGAGAAGATGTTGGCTCCCAATCTATCGCTTACTCTCTCAGCTTGTTCTTCTTTATTTGAAGATATTGTATGCCTTTTTCACTTTCCACCCTACTAGTTAGTGGTCCTTGTAGTCTGTCCGTGATGCTGTTTGTGACCCGCTTGTGATTAATCCATTCCATGTATCATATAAGGTATCGAGAGTATCGGTTCAGCTGTGACAAATCTATATTTTAGGAAGAAATGATTCGTTATTTCGTCTTCCAAGCTAGCTATTTTATCGTAGTCATGTCTTGTTGAAGATTTTCTCTATGATTTGTGTAAATTGTATAGAAATAGACGACCTCTCTTTGATTTCTAAATAAAATTTATGGCGACTGCGTAAATCACTGTTGGAGACAGATCTTTTGATAAATGAGAGCAGCAGATGGTAAATATCGATATCGAGCACTATCACAGAATTGGACGCTGTTAGGCTTAGAGGGGGCATTATATAATTTCGTTGGTTCCTATTATTAGCTCATGTTGACTAGCAGGTGTTACTTTGGTCAGACCTGCGAACTTGTGCAAGTGGACTATTTATGCTACAGGAATTTACAGGTCATCACGAGGTGGCCTGTACAAGATTAGCTGAGTACCATTCAGTGCCCCCACCGAAGCGAACTGCGCCCAGAGCTTGTTTAGTATCATGGTATTAAAGCACAGTGTGTGGTAGCAGGTTGGGTAATTGGGCGTGAGTTAAGGCGGCGACACCCAACCACTGAGGTTTTCTTGTTGGCGGGATCGTATTGATCGGAATGGCACACTAGGGTGCAATGGCTAGATGTCCCCGCCCATCTGCTTATCGTGGAATCTGCTTGCACAAGACAGGATGGCACGCATCCTATGTCATGTACGAATGAAGTGCGCTGCCACGCCGTCCCAACTGCGGGATATGGAGTGTAACTTCATGGCGATTCTTCCACACAGTACAATGGTCGTTGAGAACTCGTAGGCGAGATGCTGTGGGAGTGGAGTCATACGGTGGAAAGTGCTTCATCATGATGATGTGCCCTGTTTTGTCTCTTCAAATGGTTCCGTCCTCTTGAATGGTAAACTATAGTCACCCTTCCCGGTCACTTACTTATCTCTGGGAGATTCCCGTCAGAGGGAGAGGTTGCACTTGCACTTAGTCGTTGGGAGAGAGAGAGAGAGAGAGAGAGAGAGATCGTATCTGGTATTGAAAAAAAATTTTTCCCGAGCCCCGAGAGAAACTGGAGGGAGGAGAATGTTCTCGGGTGGCGAGAAGTTGAGCGTAGGCCAGCTGACACCGCCATTTCTCCCATCCCGATTTTGCACCCTGCTCCCAGCCCAGCTTCTGCCGGCCTTTGTACAGCCCTGGAAGGAAGGGTCTGTAAAGAACATCAGAAACGTGCATTCGTACCCTGCTCCCAGCCCAGCTTCTGCCGGCCTTTGTACAGCCCTGGAAGGAAGGGTCTATAAAGAACGTCAGAAACGTTGATATCATTTATTGAATATCAAAAAAATTCCTGTTCTCTAAAATCCACTAATCAATGTTGACTGTTTTCAATGGGACCCTCTACCCGGAGATCAAATATGACCGTTCCCTTTTCTCTATCGGTAACTCCAATACACACTGTTGAACCGACATCGACCGCCAAATACGTGAGTGTTTTTTACACTTTTTCAGAGTAATGTTAGCAAGTAATGTTTTTTGAAGTTTCTTGGTAATTTGGTAATAATAATGTTAATGTTTTGTGCCCATAACTGGGCAGTTCTTTTTGGGCATTTTGCTCTTCGCCATATTGATTAAATTAACCGGTCTCGCTTGGGTCAGACCTGTGGATTCCTGTGAGGCCGTGAAATCGTTGAAATAAGCACTTTGGTCACAGGAATTTGCAGGTTTTGCAATGTGGTCTGTACAAGCTCAATACCATCTGGTGCCCCACCAAGCCAAACTGGACCCAAATTTTTTCACTTGACAGGCTAACCGCTCAGGCTTGCCTTGGGTGGAGTTTTCCCGTGTTTTTTCCCCTACAGCAGGGTCTTGTTCACTGCGGATGCTGGGGCGTGTCAGGGGCTGAGATTGGCGCGGCGCCAGCCTGGCTTTCACCAATTGTTGTCACTTGCTGCTTCAACAATTGGTGGAGAATGGATTGGAGCTACCCCGTCCCCCACCCTCCTGACGTGCCCTATCATGCGCAACGAACAAGGCTGTACAACAGTCCAGGCCAATTGGTAGTTCAAAACGGCTTGGGGAAGTTTTCCCATTTACGTTACGGTCGTAGAGAGATCATTTCTCTGATTGAAGAAGCGCTCAAAATTATCCCAGAGAAGTCAGTGTGCATTCCAGGGTTTCCACTCTGACCATCACTCAGTTCGAAGACGAGCGCTCGAACTTGGCTCGCGACAGGAAAAAATGGAAACGTCACTGGGACCCGCCAGAAATTCGGCTGCCATGTGGTACAGGTGGGAGTTCAGAAGAACATTCTTCAGTGTAGCAGTTAAGACGTCCCTATCAATAAAGTATATCCAATAGATTTTCAAGAAAGGAGAAGGACAGTGTTACCCTTCTTTTACTCTGCGAATTTTGCCCATGGGGTCGTAGATCGTAGCCGGCGGCATTTGGCGCCGTTGCATTGGGATAGACATGCCACTACTCCTTCCACCCTCTTTTAGTACGACCTTTCACCATCCTGTCTGCCATCTTCTCAGGTTTTCCCATCTTCTTAAATAAATTTTTCTAGTTTTCCAAAAAAAATTGGGTTGATTGGAAAAGTGAGGAGGTGAGGGGTAAGGTGGGCACCAGTAAAAAAGAAAGTTCATCACGGGCTCTACGGTAGAGAGCTTTTCCGTTTTCCGGGCAAAAAAAAAA